GTACCTGATATGACAGAAATCTGCAGAACATTTCACAAAATATTTTTACAATAAACTAATATACAGTAGTGTATATATAAAACTTATAAATCTAGTATTGTACGTTATAAATAACTTGCAATTTTTTATTTGATTTCAAATACTCAATGTTGTTATAAAAGTTTGATTCCTTTCGTTCAAAAATAAGTTACAAATTAATGAGATTTTGATAACACAATCAAATAATCAAATAAATAGTAAAAATTATTGTAATAGTTCTCGATTTATAGTAAAACAAATTATTCCTATTTCCAAACTTATACTAATTTATAATAGCTATTAATGATAGTCCTGTCATACTGTACATCACTTTATAGAAATTTCAATTAAAACAAATAATGACAAATTATATAATAAATGTTAATAATTAACGAACAAATGTTAGAGAAAAGACATCATTTTTATTAAAATTTACTACAAAATAATTTTACAAAAATTTTGCTTTATTTAATTAATCATTTACTTACCACTTTTGCTGCATCGACTGTATTGCTAATAAGCATGGCTACAGTCATGGGTCCAACACCACCCGGGACTGCCATTCAATTAAACATAAGAGTCAAATTATACATTTTAATTTTTAATTTTAAAATAAATAGTAACCTGGAGTGATAGCACCGGCAACATCTTTACAATCATCATAGTCTACATCTCCAACAAGTCTGGAACCACTCTTTTTGGTGGAATCAGGTATTGAGGAAATGCCACAATCGATGACAACGGCGCCTATTCTCACATTTTATTCAATTAATTCAATTCAGTCATATAAATATCAAATCAATACAAACCCGGTTTAATCCAATCCTTTTTCACAAGTAATGGCTGTCCGATAGCCACTACTAATATATCGGCACTTTTTACCACTTCTTTGAGATTTTTAGTCTTCGAGTGGCAGACGGTAACCGTCGCGTTGTTCCAGATTAGCAACTGAGCCATTGGTGAGCCAACAATCTTACTGCGACCGATCACCACAGCATTTGCACCTTGTTTAGATTAAGCAAATTTCAAAATCTAACTTATATAACTCGACTTATATCATATCAAACTAACCGGCTATTTGAGCTCCAGATCTCTTAATCAATTCCATACAACCATTGGGAGTACAGGGAAGGAAACTATTGGTGCCGTCCACCTGTCCGTGCAATAGTTTACCCGCATTCTCGTCCGATAGACTGATTCAGTATGGGGTATATCAATGTACTTGTCAATTAGTCATTCAAAAGTGTGAACATACCCGTCCACATCCTTATGAGGAGCCACTAAATTGGTGATCTTATTGGCATCAATGGGATGCTCAGAATCAAAGGGCAACTGAACAATAATGCCATGAACAGACTTATCCTTGTTGAGTTCATCTAATTTTCTGATTAACTGTTTTGTCAAATACAAGAACTTAAGAAATGTCTAAAGAAGTGTCAATTAAAACTTGAAGACCTCCTTCTCATTGGTTGATTTGGGTAATTGGATGTGTTTGGCGTCCACTCCAACCGATTGGGCGAAGTTCTTCTTCATGCGGATGTAGACATTAGAGTCCTCTCGACCGCCGACCTGAACGATGGCCAACACCGGAGCCAATGGCAACTTCTTCACCTCATCGCGCAGTTTGTCGCGGATCTGCTCCGACACCTCTTTACCGCTCAATACTTTTGCCATTTTATTAGCCACAGAACTATTGACAACAAATCAATTAAATGTTAACAATTATAATAAAGTCTTTTCTAATGAAATGGGAGACCAAATAATCACTAAAAATGATTAAGGTTTTTGGAAAACTAATGCAAAGTAATGGATATCAAGTCATATAGAAATTAGTGATTAGTTTTGATAACTTTAGTATTGATTAGATTTCGATAAATACAGTTGAAATCAGAAATAATTTTTCACAAATAGTTTATCACAACTTATAGACAAATGTAGTTTATTGTAAGTTGAGTTCAATTGCAAACACATAGACTCGACGCTAATGACTGAATACTAGTGAATAGATATCAAGAATTTGTTTATTGAATCTGAAGATCAGTTCAGTTCAAGGATTATTAGATAAAATGTGTTCAAGACTTGCCTCAAATATCTCATACAGTTATACATTTCCAGAGTTGGGAAGGACTGGTAGACCTTGGAGTTTGCAGTTATCAAATTCACCAGTAATTCAATGGTTATTCAATAGTATGATATTTGTGGCAAAAATTATACTCATTTTCCGATTTCGTGTACTTTTCTATACACCAAAGTACTGATCATATCATCAAATATTTTGAACATTTTTGGATTTCAAATACAGGTTTAGATAACATTGACTTTTTTAGGACTCATTTACTTGATTTGTATTCAAAAGTGATTCCTTTCAGACATAACTGAAATCATATGAAAGCATATCTTATAGAATATAAGAAGTTATGAATCCTTTTATCAGAAGTTTTCGGATTTAAAATTCATATTT